GAGCTCCCCCCAGAAGAAACTGATCACACGGTGGAGCAGCACCGCCAGAGACTGGAGGAGATCTACAGGCAGGAAGGGTGCAGGTGGAGCAGAAAGAGCAGAAGTTAAAAATCTAATGAAGCTCACATTCTCTCTACAACGCTGCCATATAAACACACTTCCACCACCTGACATTGAAGATGTGAAAAGCAAATGGCCTTTTCTTTTCATGCCAAGGTATATATACGCACATTTTGAGTTGCTCACAGACATCAATGTGCTTTGTAGCTTGGAACTCAGTATGGAGAAATGTGGAAGAGCCATCACAGAATACTTCAGGGGAAAACCTACCAACAAAGATGTCAGGGATATCCTCTCTAATGGTGAAGATAATGAGATGGCACTTCGTGTTGTTCAGCTGCTCACGGCACACTTTGGAGAGAACCTAACTGGGCTGATCCTTCTTACAGATGTAAATTTTATTTTTTTTTTCTAACCATGTGTTTTAAAGGGTGACTCCACCAGTCTTAAGTGTCCCAACACCTAAAGTGTACACTAGTTTTGGGGAGTACTACTACATATGTGAAAACAGTAGTGTAATTTTTTTTGTGGCTCAGAGAAAGCTGCATGTAAGCTGGTAAATTACCTCCATGTTGTCACACAGTTGCTAAACTGCATTATGGGTAAAGTAGGTGCAAGGTTTTAAAAAGCATTTCACTAATTCTTTGTTCTTCTTTTAACGTTTTAAAAGCAAATGATCAAATCAATACAGCAGAAACAGAAATATTACCTTTTTATTCCACATATTCTTCTTCCTTGTCAAAACCTGGTGCCTACATTATCCACAATGCAACTTGACCACTGAGTGACATCACTGGAGGCAATTTATCAGATTATGTGCAGTTTCCTCTGGAGCCACAAAGGGTTCATACTACTTTTTAGACATTTGCAGTAGAACTTCTCAAAGACCTGTAAAGATATAATTGTTACCCTTTAAATTTTGAATGCCAAATCTATTTAGCAGTTTGACTGTTGGTACTTCAGAAGCCTTCCTCATTCATCTCAAGGTTACTTTCACCTAGTGTTTACTATTTATTGACCTTTTTATAATTTTTCTTTTTAAATCTCTTATTATGGTAAGCATAATGTATTTGTTCCCTACAGGTGTCTGCCACTCCAGCTGACGTTGAGACAACTCTCAGTCTTCCTGCAAGTCCTCGCCTGATACTGCCTGGTATACATTTCATTTAGATTCTGTGATAGATACATTATATCGGCCATTCATCTTGAGTTTACAAATGTTTACACAAGGTAACATGGATTCCCATGTTGCTATGACTTGAAGTTTCAGGTGCAACAGGGCAAGTCACAAAGGTTGGATGATCACCTTTGAGGGCCATGTAATCTCTGAGGGCATCACACCAACATTTGCAATGGGACTTGCTACTGTCTTTGCAATATATACTCAACCTTCAGTATCAAGGTGAGGCAGCCTGCACTCTGGAATTCCTTCAGAGGTAAAACCCCATCATTCCTTGTCATCATTATATGGATATATACAATTAAATTAATGTTTGTATTTCTTTGCATAAAATGGTATTAGTACTGTACATTTCAAGCCACAACACACACAGACTGGGTATTTTGTTGGACTATAGGCTTTATAATTCCTTTTGATGTCACTTCTATATGACATTCAAGTCCACTCTATTAGTGCAATGAAGAAAGACAAAAAACAATTCAT